TAAATAACTCAGGTAAAACAACCCCTCTTCATTTCATTTCATTTATAGCATAGCCTTCCAAACATATATCAGGGTGGTATGTCCTAAGTCTTCTTGTCTCAAAACATTTTATCGCATGTCATTACATATTACAACATATCATGACACTTCATAGCTTATCATAATTCGTCCAGGCATAAAATGACTTCCATTTGTATTTTAATGTTATTGAGCATGTGTGGGCATATCATATAACAAACCATATCATATCATTACAGCATATCATGTTGTAACACATCAAGTTATACCACATATCATGTCATACTACGTATCATATCATATCATTCAACATATCATATTATAAACACAATACACATATCAAACATATGACACATGCAGGGCCATTGGGCATGTGTCATCATGCATAACACAAATCTTATAACTATATCGATAGTAAGATTACATACATGGTTGGCGTTAGCCAAATTTCTATCTGGGTCCAAATTTTCATTAGTTTGAACTTATCGTGGTTTCGTTTCCATTTTTCTTTCCATTGACGTTTTCCTTTCTTTTAAATGAATTTTGCAAACGTTTAAGTCTATGATATTGTGTATGAAATATTTTAAATGCGCACATTAGGCATATCATACCTGTAGCAGCGTCTCTATTTTATTAGAAAAATAGGTCATTACAAATTGTCTTAAAATATCAAAAGCCTTATCATCAATCTAAAATCAAAAGAAAACTTAGGGAAATTCACGAATTCAATCGGTGTCCTTGTCCTTATCCTATCTTTTTGTAAAAGTATTCTATGGCCTTGAACTCTACTTTCTAATACGAACAAAAATTGGATGTCTAGTGTACTCCTTTACACACGGCCCACACACTCACGCATGGACTCACTAGGCTGGCGTATACGTATCATAGGCTTGCCCTTCAAATAACGTGATCTCACACTACCGAAACCATGGAGGGAAAGAATCCCGCATAATATCATGGAGAAATATAAACATCGTAATGTCCGTGTCCATACTCCATAATAGGAAAATATCTTGATGCATATGACATACAAAATGCATGAGATTCTATAATATCAATTCATGACATAGGAAATACATATATAACACTTGTCATATCTTCCATAATTAACATACATGACTTTCTAACATAATCTCATAATATAACATGACATGTATCACATCATAGCATAAATATAACATAGCATCATGAGATGTATAGGGGTCAAATGGCAAGCATCGTTCATACAAGAATCAAGTCATCCAACCAAGGTAACAATAAAACTACTTGTCTAGTTGACCCAAGTCGAAATCAATACGCTCCTTTGATGCCCTTTAATGCTAGCTTAAACCTACTCCTTCAAATTCTTCAAATCTAATTAACTGAATAAGTCTCACAATCCTAATTGGCATAAAATAATCTAAACTTAACTTCAAATGATTTAAATTTTCGTACAAAAATGTCTCATGAAGAGTAAAAAAGGCTATGAAAGAGTCCAAACATATCAAACCCAAGCCAGATCCATCGAGAAGTTGAGGTGGAGTCGCAATTATAGTTGATTTAATAAACCAAGAGACCTCCTTTATATATTGAAGTCGAACTCTCGGCTTTTCAACCCAACTGATGCGAGATAACGGATGGCAAGAAAGTCAAAAACTAAGAATTAGTTCCATGACTTTGTTTATTTTCTCAATTGAAACTTAACATTTTGGCATCACTTATTACATCAGGGCCGACAAAGATTCTTTATTTATTTTAATAGCAAAAACAATAATTCCCTCTAGAAAGAAAAAAAAAAAAAAAAAAAAAAAAAAT